CTTAAGACCCTTCCTTGAACTACCTTCCTTCTAATTCTCCTTCCTTTTCTCCTTTCTTTCCTGTTTCCCTTTTTAGTGAAATGTATTTCTGTACCTAGCTCTGTGTGTTTGTATTCATTTCTTTGATCAGTCCACTTGAGATAACATTCAGATGTCAGCTCCACTCCCCTCATCCCTTTCTTCTTGTTTGTATCCACTTCTGCTTGCATATCCTAATTATGTGAATTAATTTCCCCTAACCTTCCTTTCCCTGTTTCCTTCAAGACTACTAAGACATAAGAAGACCACTCCCAGGCCTTGCCTAATGAGGCTTCCTCACTGACCCCTGATAATGATAAGTTTCAGAGGGGATACACTTACTGTCTTTTCATATATGAACATAAGCAGTTTGTCCTTGTTCAGTTCCTTATTGCTCATTCATGCTAACTTTTTTATGTTACTCTTAACTCCTGTGTTAAACTTTAAATTTTGGGGAGGCAGCTTGTGGCACAGTAGATACAGCACTGGCCCTGAAGTCAGGAGGACCTGAGTTCAAATATGGCCTCAGACCAAATATTTGACACTTAGTAGCTGTGTGACCTTGGGCAAGTCACTTAACCCCAATCACCTCAACTAAATAAATAAATAAATGAAAAATAAGCATCACATTTTCTCTGCAGCTCTGGTCTTTACATCAAGAATGCTTAGAAGTCCTTTATTTCATTAAAGGTTCATTTTTTGCCCTGTAGCATTATACTCACTTTTGGCTGTAAGCCTGTTTACTTTGCCTTCTGGAATATTATATTCCAGGTTCTCTGTTTCTTTATCCTGGTGGCTGCTAAATTCATATGTGATCCTGACTGTGGCTCTTTGGGTATTTGAATTCTTTCTGACTACTTGCAGTATTTTTTCTTTGATCTGGAAGCTCTGGATTTTGGCTGTGATGTTCCTGGGAGTTTTCATTTTAGGGTTTCTTTTAGGAGGTGACTGGTAGATTCGATTTCTACTTTGCCCTCTGGTTCTAAGAGCTCTGGTCAGTTTTAAAAAAATTTTTTAATTTTAAAATTTTTGCTTTTTTGGTGAGGCATTTGGGGTTAAATAACTTGCCCAGGGTCACACAGCTAGTAAGTGTCAAGTGTCTCCTGACTCCAAGGGCAGAGCTCTGTCCACTGTGCCACCTAGCTGCTCTCTTCGGTCAGTTTTTTAAAGACTTCTTGAAGTAGGATGTCTAGCCTCTTTTTTTTTTGGTCATGGTGTTCAACTAATCCAGTGATTTAAATTGTTTTACTCTTCATCTCTTCCAGGAATTTTAGTTGAGTTTGTGTCTAAGCTATGTTTTTCCCTGAAGCTTTTCTTATAGATGTTTTGCAGTCATTTTCTTCTGTGTTTGTGTCTTCACCTTCTCTGTCACCATACTAGCTCTTTATGGTGGGATTCTTTTTTTTTGTCCATTTTTCCAATAACCTACTTCCTGACTTTGGGCTTAGTGTTAGAGCTTGGCTGTGCACACTTCTGGAGGGAAGGTCTGGGCTGATCCTGTTGTTGCTTTCTCAGGGCATTGAATGTTGTATTATTTCAGGATCTCAGGAACAGGCTGGGGACCTGCACACTTTCAGTGCTTTGGTTTGATACGTTAGCCCCTGTCAGCCATCTGGAAAGCTCTATTGGCTCAGAGTGACAGAATTGTAGACTCCCTTTTGGTCTGGGGTTTTTGCCCTGGATATTCTGCAGGCTGGGTTAGATGTTGGAACAGAGATTTCTGTTGTGCCCTTGGTGTCTGAAGCACACCTCTGCAGCTTGTTTCAGAACCTCCTTTCTTGGTTCACTGCCCAAGGCCTTCCTGCCAGGGAACCTACTGCCAGCTGCATGTCCTCTTCTCAGTCTACCCTGGATCTGTGATCCAGAACTAGATAATTGGCAAAAAGTTGCCATTTAGCACCTACACCTTGTGGTGCTGTGGTATGGGTCTGGTGTGCTCTGGTACGAATCTGGGACCTCCTTTTGTTTTGGTGCAATTTCTTCCTGGGCACTGGAATGCCCTGCTTTCTGTGTACTCCTGTGCTTTCTGTCTGTCTACCTATGTCTGGCTGGGCTGGACAAATGATTCCCTGTAACTTTTTCTAGATTTCCTCATCGGAGTCTGGTACATTTTCTGGATCTGTTTGGAAGAGTTTTCTAGAGAGGACCTCAGCTGTATTTCTTCCCATTTCACCATCTTGGCTCTGCCACTCCCCAATTTCTTTATTTTCTATTATGAATTTGTCAGATATTTCTCTATACAAAGAAGAGTAGGGAAAAAAGGCTAAATATGAAAATGAATCTTAACTCTGTATAACTTTTTTAAAAACTTCAGCAAGGAAATAGGAAATCGTTTCCTTTTCATATTTAACATGTTAGTTCCATATCTGTGGTCCCTCTAGAACTTCTGGTCTTTTCTGTTTATTTTTAAGTTATTTGTTGATATTCTTCCATAGACTGGTCCCTTCTTTCTGATACTTTCTCTAATTTAACATATGTCTACATCTATATATCTTATTTGTTCACAGTTATTTGCATGGTTCCCTCCTACCTCACATTGTCATTTGATTCTGTGCTCCTTCAGGGAAGGGACTTTTTTGCCTTTTTTATATCCTCAGTAATAATAGTTAGCATTTATATAGCCCTTTAAGATTTTCAAAGGGCTTTACAAATATTATTTCATTTTATCCCCACAATAACCCTTGAGATAGGGGCTATTATTATCCCTGTCTTATCAGAAGAGGAAACTGAGGCAGAGAGAGGTTTAGTGACTTGCCCAGGGCCGTATGGCTAGTAAAATGCCTGAGACTCGATTTGAACTCAGATATTTTGACTGAACCACTATACAACCTATTTTACTACTACTACTACTACTACTACTACTACTACTACTACTACTACTACTACTACTACTACTACAACATTCTTATTGACTAGCTTTTTTAATGCTCACTGTCACTATCCACCTGCCTCCCTCCACAAAAATCTTCCATAATAATAATACTAAACATCTGTATGTGCATACCAGGCCCTGTGCTTAGGTCTTTACAGTTATCTCGTTTGATCCTCACAATCACCCTGGGAGTTACGTGCTTTTATTATCCATATTTTATGGATGAAGGAACTGAGTCAAACAGGTTAAATGACTTAGCCAGGGTCATATAACTAATAAATGTCTGAGGCTGGATTTGAATTCATGTCTTTCTCAGACCTTGGCCCAACACTGTATCCATTGTACTACTTAGCTGCCTCAAATAAGTATAGTCACTTTTTGAAAAATGCACATTTTGGCTATATCTGAGAAATGGTGTCTCTTTCTATACTTCTAGTCACTTACCTTTCTCCTGGGAGGTAAGAGAGCATGATTCATCTTCAGTCTTCTAGAATTGTTTCATTTATCATAGTTTTGCTTTAAAATGTTGTAGTCATGGTATAAATTGTTTTCCTTATTTGTATCAGTTCATACAGGTCTTTCCAGGGTTCTTTGAATGTGATAATGATTCATTATTATTTGATCATTGATATACCATAATTTAAAAAAATTAAAAATTTTAAAATAAAGAAAATCCACATTCTTTCTCTCATTCTTCTCCTTCTACTAGAAAAGAAAACCTTCGTAACAAATAGGCATATACTATACTATAATTTGTTGAACCATTCTCCAATTGATGGGAAGCTTTTTTATGGCCGTTCTTTGCTACCACAAAACATACTATTGTAAATATTTTTCTGTGTATGGGTGCTTTACCTCTGTCTTTGATTTCTTAGGAGGGTATAAACTAGTAGTGATTTCACTGGGTCAGAGGCTGTGCCCAGTTTAAAACATAACCTTTTTGAGTATAATTCCAAATTGTTTTCCAGAATAGTTGGACCACTTCTCAGTTCTACCGGCAGTGCGTTAACGTACCTGTTCTCCTGTATTCCTTCTAACCTGTATCATTTTTTTTCTTTTTTGTCAGTTTGGCCAGTCAGATGGGTATGAAGTGAAATCTCAATTGTTTAATGTTTCTCTTATTTTTAATAATTTGGAGCATTTTTATGTGATTGTTGATAACTTTGGCTTTTTTCCCTTGAGAATTGCCTTATTTGTAGCTTTTGACCATTTATTTTTAGTAAAGGAACTCTTGTTCTTATGTATTTGACTCCATTCTTTATCGATCTAGGAGATATACCTTTATCAGAGAAACTTGCTGCAAAAAATGTTTTGCTTTGCTTAACTATTTCCCTTCTAATTCTAACTGCAGTGATTTTGTTTCTGCAGAAGCTTTTCAGTTTCATATAATCAGAAATATACATTTTTTTCTGATTTCTGATTATTTAATTAAGAACTCTACCCCATCCATAGTTGTGAAAGATATTCTTCTGTGCTGCTTTCATTTATTTATAATATGACCCTTTTATATCTAAATCATGTATTGCTTTTTAGCCATGGCATATGATGTGAGATGTTGGTCTTCATTCCTTAACGGTTTTTGTAAAACATTTGACTGCTTATCCTAGTAGTCGGGGTCTTAGGTTTATCAAACACTGTGCTACACTGATCAACTTTTCTGTTTTCTAGCCAGTACCAAATAGTTTTTTTGGATTAGTTTTAGATCAGGTACCACTATGCCCTTTTAAAATTCTCACCTTTTTAATTCTTTGCCTTGAAATTGTTCCTTCAGATTAATTTTATTACCTTTTTCCGCTTTACTAAAGTAATCTTTTGTTAGTTTGCTTAGGGTGGTCTTGAAATTAATTTAAAAGTATTGTCATTTTATCATATTAGCATGACCCAATCACAAGCAATGTCTCTTCAGTTATTTAGATCTCTTTCTGAAAAGAATGTTATGGGTTGTGTTCATAAAATTTCTTATAAGGGTGGCTTCTTAAGTGAAGTCTTATTTTCATTGTCTTGTGGACTTTAAATGTTTAATAATAATAATAATAATAATAATATAATAATAAAACTCTTCTGCAGGGCATTTGGCTCAGTTTCTCAGTGTGATTTCCTCTCATTTCAGAATATTTGCTTCCTGACTTTGCAGTTGGAGAAATTTAAGACACTGCCAGTGCCCTTTTTGAGAAAGTGCACTTTTGGGAGGGGTGTAAGCTGTCGTTCAAATAAGGTAAATTGATGGGCCAACAGGAGGAAATAACATCCTTATTTGGGAGTAGAAATCTCCTATAATAAGATTCTTGATTATTCTTGAAAATGCTTTATAAAATAAGGTATTATTACCTCCTACTAAGTTATTCTTTTTACAGCTTTTAAAAGTTAAATTTCTTTCAATCAGTGAAAAATGTACCTTCTTTCCCCTCCCCATTGCCCTTGTTCCTGATTGAGAAAGAAAGAAGAACAAACCTTTGTAACAAAAATATATAATCAAACAAAACATTCCCATGTTGGTCATGTCCAAAAAAAGGTGTCTCAATCTGTCCTCTGAGTCCATCACCTCTCTTGTAAGATGTGGATCAACTAGTTATTTTTATTTTTATTTTTTAAATTTTAAAATTTTTATTTTTTTAGGCAATTGGGGTTAAATGACTTGCCCAGGGTCACACAGCTAGTAAGTGTCAAGTGTTTGGTCTGAAGCTGGATTTGAACTCAGGTCCTCCTGACTTCGGGGCTGATGCTTTATCCACTGCGCCACCTAGCTGCTCTCTGATCAACTAGTTATTTTAAGGAATATCTGTTTATCTTACTAATCTACCTGTGAAACCAGATGTTAAAGGAAAACTTTAAACCTATCAGGTACTATTCTAAATATGTTATAAAAATTGAGTTTTCCAAATCATCAGTTTCTTGTATCAGATACTAACTGAAATATTTCCTGCTTTCCTTTGTTAGAGGAGTTTAGGATATTATTTTTATAAGAAATACATTTTGTATTATGGACTAAGTATTTTAGGTAGACCTAGAAAGAAATAGAAAAAAATTCCTTTAATTTTTTTCTGTAGTGCCTTTTATTTGATTACTTTTCATTGGGAAACCTTACAATAATTCCCAAGATGCTGCTATTGAGAAAAAAAATTTTAGAAATTCTCTTTGAAGAAGTATCTGTGGCAGTTCATTGTTGACAAATCTCTGGAAAAGTTTTCTGAAATAAGTGTGGTAAGTAAAGTGACTGAACTGGATGGCATAGGTTCTTGGTCAAAGGCTAGGCTTGGCTGTAGAATGGAAACATGTATATAATTGATAACATGGGACTAATATTAGGGAAGGGGAAAATGTCAGGAAGGGAAGGGAATGTGCATTTTAAATAGCTTCTATTACATTCCAGAAATTGTACTATAACCTAAGCCCTTTACAAATATTATTTTACCTTTATAATAATCCTGTGATATAGGTACCATTATTATTCCCCACTTTACAGTTGAGAAAAGTGAGGCAGACAGAGGTTAAGTGACTTGGTCAGGATCACCCAGCTTGTAAGTATTGTGAAGCCTGATTGGAACTCAGGGCTTCCTGATTCCAGGCCCAGCACTCCAAACTAGCTGCCTAGGTCTGAGAATCATCTGCTTAAGGATAGGGACTGGACCTGTGATTTTATTAATAGCAGGTACTCTCTCCTTCCACCTTTCCTTCACCTGTCCTGATGACCATCAGTTGCCCAGAGCCTATCTGAGCTGTTTGATTGCTTATATGGCTTGGATAAGACAGGATTTACAAGTATAGTTAAGCAAAATAAATGACCACATTGGCTATTTCTGAAAATGTGTCTCATCCTTCATCTCTAATGTTACTTCTCTGCCAAGAGGTTGGAGGCACACTTAGTTATCAATCTCATGAGGTCATTATTGTTCACTACATTGATTAGAGTTCTTAAATCTTTCCATTATTTTCCTTTAAAATGATAATAAATAATAAAAATAATAATGGTGTCTTTTTCCTAGATGTACTAGTTTTGTTTGTGCAAACACTTTACAATTTCATGTAATCACAGTTGTCTGTTTTATGTTTTGTACTTTTCTCTCTCCTTTGGGTAAGAATATACTCCTTTTCATAGCTGTGAAAGATGGGAGATCTGCTTTTCTTCTGAGTTTTTTATGACAATATTCAGGTCATGTGTCTGTCTTGAATTTATTGTGGAATATAGTAGAAGGTGGTGGTCTAAGTCTAATTTCTGCCAGACTGCTTTCCAATTTTCTCGGAAGTTCTTATAACAGGATTTTTTAAAAGTAATTGGTGTTTTCAGGCTTATCAAACACTGGGTAATTGAGTTCCATTATTTTTGATTCCCCCCTTCTCTAGTCTATTCCATTCATCTATTCCTCTGTCATTTTGTTGTTCAGTTGTTTCAGTCATGTCCAACTCCTCGTGCCCCACTTTGGGGTTTTCTTGGCAAAGATACTGGTTTGCCGTTTCCTTCTCTAGCTCATTTTACGGAAGAGGAAACTGAGGCAAACAGGATTAAATGACTTGCCCAGGGTTGCACAGCTAGTACATTTCTGAGACTGGATTTGAACTCAGGAAAATGAGTCTTACTGACTGCAGGCCTGACACTCTACCCACTGTGCCACCTACCTGTCCCTCTCTAATACTTAACCAGTACTAAATATTTTGATGACTCCTGCTTTATGATGTAGTTTGAGGTCTGAAGTTCTCTTTCTCTTTTCATTAGATAGGTGAAGCTTTTATTACATATGCCAAGCACTATACTAAGCACTAGGAATACAAATATGACCAAAAAGATGATTTTTATCCTCAGGGATCTTAGATTCTAATGAGAGAAAACAGTGCATGACAAGGATCTGAAAGAGAGGGTTTGTGACCACTCAGCGGTAAGGTGTTTTAAAAGTCCAGATAGTCAGAACGAGAATAAGGTTAGAAATGAGTGTGGTTGGCATGGGCACATCCTCAAATGGAGGGAAGAAGTCATCAGTCAGAAGAGGTTGCCACATTGCCATATTCCCTTGACATTCTAAACCTTTTATTCCTTCAAATGAATTTATTATTTTACTGAGTTCTCTAAAGCATCCCTCTAATAATTTGGTATATCATTAAAACTATAATTTAACTTTGATAATAGCTTAAATTTAAAACAGTATCTTATTTGTACTGTTGTCTTTTGTCATTCTATCATGTTCATTTCTGTGTGTATATATATATATATTTTTTTTCTTCCTTCATCCCCTACCAGCAAGCTATCCCTGATAACAAAAATTTTTAAAGGAAAAAAAAGCAGTTCAGCAAAACTAAGCAATATGTCAACCGTGTGTGACAGTGTATGCAACATTTCACATCTATGTTCCTCTACCTCTTCATTTGAGAGATGAAGGTACATTTTCTCAATTTTTCTGGGTACCAAGGTTGGCCATTATAATTGCACAGCTTTTGTTTCATTTTATTCTCTTTCTATTACGTATATGTTTTCCTGTTTCTGCTTCCTTTACTCTGTATCAGTTTATATCTCTTCCCACACTTCTGTATTCTTCATTTTTGTTTCCCTTATCGTTATTTTTTTATGGCCCAGAAATACTTAATTGCATTCACTTAACACAGTTTATTCATTCTTCAGTCGACAGACCTCTACTTTGTTACCAGGTCTTTACTACCAAAGGAAGTGCTGCTATGAATATTTTGATGTTTATGGGCATAGTTTCAGGAAGGGGCTCAGAGGGGAAGAGGATAATTTCAAGCTGAAAAAAGGTAACTTCTCTATTGGAAAGGAAAGAGGGAGTTTTTCTGGTCACTTCTCCCATGCTGCTCTTATGGCAGTTGTCTGTAATCTGACTAGTATTTTTCTTTCATATAGTTGTTACCGAGATCAAAACTTAGATGTGTTCAAGTTAATGTTTCTATCACACAATAGTTTTAGTAGCTTAATTGATTAAGAAATCTTCAAAACAGAATCTTATATTGGCATGCGAATCATGACAGAAAGGTTAAATTGAATCATGACAGAAAGTAGCTTATTTTATAGTTTCACTATTAAGTATGTCCTTCCTCCTCAGTGTCCTCTTTGGAAATTGATGATTGTTTTTCAGATAACCAGAGTAATTAATCATGAATAATTTAGACGCAGTAGGCTGTGTTATATGGCTGTATGACAAGGTTCTGTTAAAGTCACACAGGACAATCAGTAAATATCTAACATAGTATAGGAGGCAGAGGAGAGAGGCTGTGTGCTTAACACATGTAGTACTAGTCTTTGGAGTCTGCCAAGTAGTGTTCAACCCACTAATTAGTTAGCGTTTATTATTATTTGACAAGGCAATTCAAGGCAGTTTTAGTTTCTGGGTACTAATTGGGTTTAAATACATCATTGTCCGTAATGATAGCAGATAGAAGGCCTCAAAGTATGTAAAAAAAGAATTGTTTTTGGGGCAGCTAGGTGGCGCAGTGGATAGAGCACCAGCCCTGAAGTCAGGAGGACCTGAGTTTAAATCTGGCCTCAGACCAAACACTTGACACTAGCTGTGTGACCGTGGGCAAGTCACTTAACCCCAGTTGGCTTAAAAAAAAAAAGACTTGCTTTCTTAGACAATTTCTGTATTAAGATTCAGAATAGGTGATAATTGTTGATAAAGATTTGATTCTGAAAATGAAAAGAAAGCATCTCTCATGCTGTTGTGTGTCCCTATATAATGTAAGAAGAAAAAACCCCTGAAATTGTTGCTTTTGGCTTTCCAAAGGGATGCCTGGGGATTAGCTTCTGAGGATAATCTTGAGATTTCTTTCATATTATCAGTGTGGTGTTCACTCTTTTGAAGGTGATAAAAGATGTTGAGCTTTAATTGCTTGGATTAAGCTGAATTTAAGACATCTTTGGGTATGTTCTCAACACAAAGCTTCTACACTGATAGGGACTATTACAGTAAAAAACAAATTTATGGCATCTATCCCTTACAGAGAAGACTCCCCAGCTTTTTACCACTGGTACCTTTTACTACTAACAGCCAGGAGTTTAATAGTTTCTCTCCCAATGAGATCACAACCTTTTTGCCTTTTATTTTCTCTGGTACATTACTTCTTCCTTATTCTCATCTTTAGCACAACAGAAGCTCAGTAAGATTATTAGGACTGTATAATATAGACATATCTGGCTATAGATCATACACATGTAGATGAGTCACAGGTATGCATACTTCCTGTTGAAACTCCTTTGATCCAAAAGCTCAGGAA